TGTAATTCTCACTGCTGTTAATACATGTAATATTAAATATATACATTTTTATCATAGTTTTCTGTGATTATACCTAATAGAAATAGTTCCGGCTTAAAATCTACATGTTTTCTTAACATTTTCTCTAACCACATATTTATTTTGACCAGAATGTTTTGCTTTAGGGCATGTCCATCAAAGATGGTAGTACGTGCCTGGCTTTTGCCTACATTTCCAACAGTTGCTAGACATGTTTTTAAACATTTTTGCTAATCTTGCAGGTGGTAAATGCCATTTATAAAACATTTTATATAAATTTTCTTTATAGGTAGCTGCCCTTGTTATTTTAAAAAATAAGAAATTATGGATACCAATTTATTATCACCCAATAAAGTTAGTTGTTTTAGCATTGTTGTTTATTCTACATAACCTTGAATTTATTATTATCCGAGAGAGACCAATACTGGTATAAATGAAAACTGGTATAAAGTATCTAGTGAAGCAGGTATAAGAGACTGACCAGTGATCTAGAAATTACTGAACTGTTCTTATATATAATACAATTGAGCCCCAAGTTTCTATTGCTAAACAAGACAGCTGTTAAATGAGTTTTGCTCCATTTTATGATCTTTCTTGCTACAGTTGTTAGTGAATCGCTACAGTTATTAAGTTAGTAATATAGTTGTTAAAGAAATCTGGCTTCCACACTGACTTTGCTTGTTAGAAGGTCACAAAAGGTGATTACATGACCTGGGACACTGCAACTGTCATAAATACATGCCAGTTGCCAAGCATCTGAATTTTGATATGTGACCATGGAGATGGTACAATAGTCATAAGTGTGAAAAACGGTCATAAGTCACTTTATTCAGTGCCATTGTAACTTCAGATAAATCACTAAATAAATGGTTGTAAGTCAAGGACTATCTGTAACACATAATCTTGAATATTTTTCAGTTAATAATATGTGTTATCTTTTTTATTTATAAGACTAAATATGAGGTTTAATAAATGGGGCTGCAAATGGAAGCAAAAGTAGTGGAGCTGACAAGTGACTGGGAAGCCACCATTTTTTTTGCTAGATTTCAAGAGGTAAAGTTGCAACTCATGGGAAGACCATATACATTCAAAGGGTCCTTCAATTTTTCAGCAACAATTCTATAAGATGGGCTGAATGCAGACATGTAATGACTCTTAACGTGTATAGCAAGGATTGGGTTTCTTTTAAGTGTGAAAATTTATAGCACTCTTAGAATTTATCCAATTGATAAAGAAACTGATTTTACTCTCATTATCAGGTATTATGAGATAAGTAGCATCTTAAGAAGTCCACTTAACGTTATTTTCTACGCTGATGTAGAAACTTTAATGTAAGCTAATGTGCAAATCTTGATCAGTATTAGTGCCATCTATTAATGATCAGATAGTCTCCATAATTATATGTCCCCAACCTAATCTTTCAGACATTCCAACAGCATATCCATTACCAACATCAAAATTCAAGAACATGAATATTCTTTCAGTCCTGTTTTTTCAGTTTAAATTTTGCTTCCATAGGAGATCATGGTGCAAACCACTGACTGCAAGTTTTGATCTTTGTAGGTATAGATGTGTTATGGCATCTGAATATTAATTCTTACTTCACCATGTGCTAGTCTGCGTTTCTTGACTTATCATTTTACTCTTGATCATCAGCCCTATAAGGCAGAAGCTGTCCACCATTTCATAGCTTCACTGCCAATTCTAAGGCTGGTTGCTTTTCCTGTAGTTATTATTTTGGTCTTCTTTATATTTAATCTTAGTCCCATTTTTTTCACTTGACTTTTATTACAACACCTTGCAGATCATTTGCATTTTCAACTATTAGAGTAGTGTGATCAGTACAGTACAGATTATTGATGCATCTTTCTTCAATTTTAAATCATGTTCATTTTCTTCCCATCCAGCACTCAGTGACATTGGATGTGATATTTGGAAGTGATTTCATAATATAGTTCCTGGTTTTCACCCTCTATACCTAGCTGTCACATCTTTGCTGGCCCAGGGCTGTAACTACTTTGAATGCCAGGTCAACCTGAAACAATTTTGCCCTCACTCATGACCTTATCATAGATAAGGATTCCAACTTGGTATGTATCACCCAGACCTGGCTGAGTTCAGAAGGGGGCATACCCCTCTTGGAGCTGTGTTCACCTGGATTTTAAACTCAGTATCAACTGAAATCCCAAGGAAGATAGGATTATATCATTCATGAGTCTCAGAGGCTCTCAGATTCTTACTTCCACATAAAACAAGATATATGCCAGAGGTTTAGCCCTATATAACTGTTGCATTTGCTGCTGATGTATAGGTAATCCATAACTTACGGCCACAATTGAGCCCTAAATTTATGTTGCTAAGTGAGACATTTGTTAAGTAATTTTTGCCCATTTCTTGCCGCAGTAAAGTGAATCACTGCAGTTGTTGAGTTAGTGACCCGTTGTTAAGTGAATCTGGCTTTGCTTGTCAGATGGTTGCAAAAGGGGATCATATGATCCCGGGACACTGCATCCATCATAAATATGAACCAGTTGCCAAGTATCCGAATTCTGATCACGTGACCATGGGGATGTTGCAATGGTATAAATCACTTTTTTCAGAGCCGCTGTAACTTTGAATGGTCACTAAACAAACTGTTGCAGGTCGAGAACTACCTGTACTACCCTTCTCTGCCCAGCAGTATCCTAGCCTGAGCTTCTGGATTTTGTCATAGAGTTGGTCATAGAATCCTTGCTTTTAGGGCTGGCTTCTGGATGGTCAACCTACATATAGAGAATCCTGGAAGAAGCAGATTACTTAGATCTGTACCCGTCAGGTTTCAGGCCAGGATTCAGTACTAAGATAGCATTAGTCATGCACGTTTATGGTCTGTAGTGTATTAGGATGGAAATAGTGCATCCATTCTTGTGATCCTTGATTATTTAGCCATCTTCAATGCCATCAACCACCGTACCCTTCTGGAACAGCTACAGAAGTTGGGAAATGGGGGCACCATTTTAGAGTGGCTTTTTTCTTTCTTTGTAGCTGGTTCCAGATCAATCCCACCAAGTCTGAGAGGTTGTGAATACTGAGGCCCCTCAAATCTGTGGAATTTACATCTATGTTTTTGGACAGGGTGGTATTTTTCATTCAAGAGTGATGCCTGATCGGAAGAGGGTATTGTTTGGGACTCAGAACTCCTGCTGAAAACCAGGTAACAGTGCTTGAAAATCACTCAGAAGCTTCAACTAGTCCAGAATGTAATGATGTGGAAAGTGATAGGCATATCTTGGTATGCCCATGTGGTAGCCATGCTTTGCAAGTTGTACTAGTTGCCAGTATGTTTCTGAGTGCAGATCAAGGTGCTGGTCATCATCTATAAAGCTCTATATGGCATAGGGTCAGGTTATGTGATGGATTACTTAATCTCCATGGTTTCTGCTGACAGAGTTGGAGTACTTCGGGTTTTTTCATTAAATGCTGCATCTACTGGAACCTAGGAAGTGTGTGTTTTCCGTAATGGCACCTGAATAAGATCCCCTCCCCTGAAATCTATCTGGCTCCCACCCTGTTGGCATTAAGTTAGACCTTGAAGACCTGGATAGCTGTAACCTCTTGTTAGGCCTAGATAGCTGTAACCTCTTGTTAGATTTCTATTCTTCTGTACAGAGCTACCAGACCTCATCTAAATCTGTTTATATTTTTTTAGTTTGTTATGTTGTGATCTACCCTGATTCAGGTGGTCTCTAAATTGAATTAAATAATTAAAATTAAATAGAGGCTTGCAAGAAAATGTAACTTAAAATTGTATAATAAACAGGCAACCAAACTTACAATATTTAAACACTTTCCTTAAAGCAATTTTTGACTGTGCTAAAAACTACCCAAGAATCCAGAGGACAAGGAACTGCACAATCAGTATGGCTTTGATTGCTGAATGAAGTATCCAGACAAATTTCCATTCAGGAGGTAATTTCTAAGATACTATGATCTATGGCCATTTTGGGTCTTAAAGGTTAAAATATCAAATTGTGCCCAAAAGTAAAGAAGCAATCAACATTGCTAAGGCAGGCACTAGTCACAATGATGGAATATATTATTTTGCATGTAGCAAGTCCCTGCTTCATCCCTTTCATTGCAAAATAAAGAGATAATGACATGATGATACTGAGATACTATTAATAAGAACACACAATACCAAGCTGGAAGAACAATCTGTCTGATCTGCTACAATGCAGCTTTCAGAGTTTTAAAAACCCTGAAATGACTGTTCAGAATATTTCTGGCCATATGGATTCTTCCACTTGAGCCGATTGATATATCCAAGATGAAAAGTAGTTGATAGATGAAGAAGGCTGATGGCCACTGTTATTATCTGAATATCTGGGGGCAAAATGTTGTTTAAAAAGCTCACAACAGGCATCTGATATTTAAAGGGAACCCAAAACAAGATCAACAATCAGTCCTGAAATAGCACATTGCTTCCATTTTATCAGGACAAACATTTAATTTGCTTATTCTCTTTGCATCCTTCACCATATTATATGATTTTACGCTGATTAAGCAAGCATGGGAAGAAACGATAGCACATCAAAAAACAAACAAGAGAGTAAGTCCTCCCCATTCAGCCAAAACACTGAGAAGCAAATCAACAGATACTCTTAAACTGAGATTTTTCTGAAGTAAGTATAAATATGTACACCAAATTAGGCTACATAAAGAATTCATCAATGGAATAAAATATGGATTTTTTACAAATGTCCTTCAGATATACTAAAGTACTTGGAATGACATCTTTGATCATAGAACTTGTTATTATCAAAAGCAATTTAATAATATTTAAATAAATTATTTAGAGCAATGTTTCTCAATCTCAGCGACTAAGATGTATGGATTTCAAATCCCAGAATTCTCCAGTAAGCAAGATGCTGAGACTGAGACCCACTGGTTTAAAGAATAGGTTCACAGTACTTCACGCACTAAAGCATTATCAGGGAAAATACCTCTTTTTTGGTCTCCTTGTTTTGTTCAGCCTCAATGTCAATAGGGTTATTTCCATTTGCTTCTTCCATTTCATCCTCACTGAAAATAAATAAGACAATACCAAATTATTTCTCTGTCAAGACTGCTAGAAGTCCCCAGGTAGACACATTTTTTTAAATCTATATTTTATTTTGTTTATTGCATGTATGTATGTATGTATGTATGTATGTATGTACTGTATGTATGTATGTATGTCTTGAGTGTTTTTGGATGCACCCTGTCAGCCCAAATATGGGAGGAAAAAATCCCAGTCCCCCCTTTAACTCTTTGTTAGCAATCCCCCCCCACAAATTAGCACACACACACACACACACGTCCCTAATAACTATAAAAATACAAATCCCAGGCATATCTGTACAATGATAGGAAATCCTTGAACTCTGGGAAGGATATAAACCAGCTGTTTATTGTTAAAAACTAAAACAATAAGAACAACTATTTACAATACTAAAAACAACCTAAGCTTTCGCTGGTCTACTGCCAGCATCATCAGAGTGAGTGTCAGGGGGTGGGGAGTTTTCTTATAAACCTTGCTAACTCAGTTTCTTGCTCACTGACCGTGTGATAGGGCCGTCCATCCTAACTGGCTGTAACTGCCTCAGTTGTTCCGCCTCCCCAGGTTTGCATTCCAATTTCACAGCCCTCTTTCTTCCCATTGTTTTTTTTTTCCATCCGTCCCATCCTTGTCGATCCTTCCCATCCTTTCCTAATATTATTGCTGCCGGTGTATCTTCCGATCCCCCCCCCCCCCGTGATCATTCTGGACCGCACGTCCAGGTCTGGCATTGTAGATGCCTTTCCGTTGCTGCTTCCCCCTTTTTCCCCATTCATCCACCTGCTGTTCTTGTCCTCTGCTGCTTATCCCTATCGGCCCTGTTCCCTCCGGTTTCCCTTCGCGCTTGGGCGTGCGTGCATACAGGAGTATCCTATTCCACTGTCTCGTCTGTATTCGATCAGCTGGAGTGACTGCCAAAACGCTCCCAGATTCACTCCGTCGTCCGCGCCCAGCAGATGGCTCTCCGTGTGTGGGCATGCGCGTGTGCCGTGGCGTTCTCCCCCTCTGCCTCGCCTGTATCCGATCAGCTGACATTCTTACAGGAGTATTTGCGGGATCATTCCCCCACTGGCTGCACTGGCTGGCCAGCCGTTTGTCTTGCTTCTCCTCCCCACGAATCACACTGTTCTCCTCCGGTTTTTCTTGCCTAAATGTAGAACCTTACTTTTTTCACCACTGAATTTCATTTTGTTAGATAGTGCCCAGTGTTCAAGTCTGTCCAGATCCTCCTATATCTTAAGTCTGTCTTCTGGAATGTTGGCTATTCCTGCCAGCTTGGTGTCATCTGCAAATTTGATGATTTCCCCATCTATCCCCTCGTCCAAATCGTTGATGAAGATGTTGAAGAGCACTGGGCCCACAACAGAGCCCTGGGGCACCCCACTAAACACTTCCCTCCATGTAGATACGGTTCCACTGAGGACCACACGCTTACAGCCGGTCAGCCAGCTACGGATCCATCTGGTGGTGATGCTGTCTAACCCACATTTTTCTATCTTATCAAGTAGTAGGTTGTGATCTACTTTATCAAATGCCTTACTGAAGTCCAAGTAAATGATATCCACAGCATTCCTCTGATCCACTAATATATATATACACATGCACATCAAAATTTAAAAAAATGTAATCAGCATAAGGTTCCAGAGAAGCTTAAACTGAGGATATAATGTTGATAAATAATTTAAGGTGATGTGATCATAAAATGAGAGTAATTTTGGTGTAGTGGTTAAAGATCAGACTAGAAACTGAGAGACGATGAGTTCTAGCCCTGCCTTGGGCATGAAGCCACCTGGGTGACCTTGATTCAGTCACTTTCTCTCAGCCCTGGGAAGGAAACAATGGCAAACCTCTTCTGAAAAACCTTGCCAAAAAAACTGCAAGGACTTATCCAGGCAGTCTCTGAGAATCGGAGACAACTGAACACCGCCCACCCCCCAAATCATAAAATTAAAGCACAAATGACAGGTTAAGCAACACTTTGATAATTTTACAATAGCAGGATAGATACAATTCTTTGAATTATCATCTGTTCTGTTATATATTGGAAAAAAATATAATATTGCTGAAAAGCCTATTGCTCAAGTGTTGATTCAGAACAGAAGTTTTCAGCCTTTAACAATAGTTGCTTTTATCCTCTATTAGTTTTTACTTTTATAAAAATGTTTCCTTGAACTACTGCTTCACAAGCCTCAGAATTATTCTTTTCAAGGGATATGTCAAGTAGATATAAACACCCCAATACTCTGTATTTTATCTCTTGAATAAATGGAGTATCAATGCTGCTAACATCGGATGTTCTTGCTTTGGAAATGCAGCCATTTTCTCTATTGCTTTTAGAATTAGTTGCTGCTGGGAGGGGGAATAGGGATGAGAGTCCAGCTAGTCATAACAATAATAACTTAGTCGTGGGAACCCAAGGACATTGGACCCAGAGCTAGTAGTGTTTTGGCGGGCTGGAGAGCTGGGGAGAAAGCCCGCGCTTCAAGCTAATTGGGGAATGTGATTTATGACTGTTTATTGGAGGAGGGAATTGCACTTTGTTACTTTGTATGGGGGGGATTTAGTTTCTGGTTTCAACTATGTAGTGCCGATACTTTGTTTCTCGAATAAAAGATTCTTTAAGGTAAACAATGCCTCAAAGTTCTTTTGAAGAGTTTCATCTGTCGGAACCATGACATGGAGTACAAGAGTTCAGCACAATTATTGCTATTGTAACTACCAAAAGTCTTTCACTTCTGACAGTCTATAAATCTAATAAAGAAAACAAGAAAACAAAATGAATAAATGACTTCCTGTGGAATGGCCTATTTATTAAAATCACATATGTTCTCTCCTTCCTTTTTATAAATGTCAGATTATACCTGCTAGGGAGCATATGCTCAGCAATATGCCCAGCTATGTGCATGTGTTTCTTTTGGCTGAGAAAAAATATTTTTGGTTAATAAAAAGTAAGAAATAATAGTATAGTTTCAGGAAATGGAAACAATGCTGAATTTGAGATGACAAGTAGCCCCCGATTGGAATATTTTATTTATTTATATTTTTAATCTGCTGTATAACCATTTTAAAACTAACCATGACTACCACAAAGTAAATTGCTACTTTAAGCATTGCACTTAGATGATTATCATACTAGATCATGGAATGATCTTAAATGACTGTAAAATAGAACCTTGGCAAATAACTGTATTTTATAAGAAAATGGAGCTATCGTCATCATCTTCATTATCATCCTTTTATCCGGCTAGTGCAAAATCCTGCCACAAGTCTACTGTGAGCATACTTTATGTAATGTAGACAATATTATATACACATATTGATCTAACATGTCTGATGAAAGAACTGCCAAGGCTAAATTTACCACATGGTCAGGTCTAAAGTTCTGATAGGGAAAGTGGGGATCAGGATGCAAGCATTTTCTTACAATTATAATTAATTAGAATACAGTATGAATCCATCCATAAGATTATAGTGAATTAAATTCTGTTATTAGATACATTTTCCAAATATAAAGTTAAGTATAATTTACATTTGCTATTCTTCTATTGAAGGGATTCCTCATAATTTCCAATGAAAAATATAGAGTATCAGCAGCTATTACTAAGCCATGTTGCAGTATATTTCTGCCCAACCCGAGTTGTGCATTTGTTATTCAGTAAAGAATTGAGCCTTTTGTTGTGGTACCCAGGCTACTGAATACTACCACCACCACCACCACCCCTTTGTAGAAATAAAGCCTGGATTAACACTATTATAATTCAGTTACAAGGTGAAGATATTTATGTTCAAACTGGCATTTAATCTCATTTGATTATACTGTTTATTACTTATTATAAACTGTTACATTGTTTTATGGATTGTATCTATGAATTCCTACAATGCACATTTATTGTTATGGAGACTCGTACACATATAAGTTAACTTGCTGGACAGAAACCTTTCTGTTTGTAGACTGGGTTTTCCCACAAGGATGAAATCAGTAAATATTACATCGTAATCTACCTTTCAAGTATATGAGCTGCAGGTTCTCAAGCTGTCAGTGATAACTGCTTGGGGGTGGGGTGGGGTGGTGGTGTCATAAGTAAATATGAAAGTGGTCCTAGTTGGTAAGGAGGTTAATGTATGCAGAGCAGGATCATTGCCCAAATATGTTCCTGTTCTGCCTGTGCCAGGCAAGTTTCAAGAAAGCTCCAGTTCTGTGTGTGCAAGCTTCTTTGCTTGCACTTGGAAAGCTATAGGATACAGGCAGTCCTTGATTCATGCCTAGTCACATAACAACCCTTTGAAGTTACAACAGACTTCAAAAAAGCTACTTACCACCTATCCCAGTGGTGGCGAACCTATGGCACGCGTGCCAGAGGCGGCACTCAGAGCCCTCTCTGTGGGCACGCGCGCCATGCCCCGGAGATGGCAACTGTCCCTCTTCGGCCTCTGCCTCACCTTGCCCTGTGACAAGGGCACCCCCGCCCTGCCTCACCTTGCCTCGCCTCACCCTGCAGGACGAGCCTCCTGCCCACTGCCCCATCTGCCAGAGACCCCCTGGATCTCCCCCAATCCTGCCCGGCCCCCACAGGCATCCCTCCCCACAAGCAACATTGGCCACACCCACCCAGTCTGCCATGACCACCACAGCCATGCCCGCTTAGTGGCCCACGCCCACCTGGCACCCGGTAATAAATAAGTGAGTTTTGCATTGCAGTTTGGGCACTCGGTCTCTAAAAGGTTCGCCATCACTGACCTATCCTCAGAGTTAAAACTGCTGTACCCTGGCCCCTATGGTCACATGATTGCATTTAGGGCACTTGGCAACTGACTTACATTTATGACTGGTTGCAGCATCTCACAGTCATGAGACTGCAATTTGTGACTTTAAAGAAGAATATTTGTAGCTCAGGTTTGAAACGAGGTGTCCTTGGTGCCCTCTGCGCTTGATTGTTTTCTTGCACAGGTTTCATTACCCAAACTAGATTAATCTCATCAGTGC